CACATACCCAGAGAACACTCCCAACGCATAGTCCTGTTGAATAACGATTGACCTAGCAGGGACTTTTCAGAGGCAATGAATTCGCTCGGTCCATTTGCTTGCCATAGCATATGATTTGTCATGGTTTTCCATGTATCGGTCGGTATAAGCTGCCGAACCATTCCGTTTGTGAAACAGTCCATTGACCAGATATCTTGAGGCGGTTGAGTCAGCGGTGTTGAACTGATTTTTTTATTCTGAGCGGTTGGTTCCTTCCCTGAGATACGTTCATTGGCCGGGAATGTTTNTAATGCCAAAGTCGGAAACATAAAAGTACCTGATAGTTGCATTTGAACTGTCTGCGAGTGGACGACTCCCGGTGTCTGTCAAGTATTAAAGAGCGTCCCCCAGATCCTGAGTTCGAACCCAACCACCGTGTGTCTACTCCATTTGTGTACTTCCCCAGGCAGCATTTGGACTGCCGCGGCCCCTTCCTTAAGGGTGACTGTACATTTTTGTACCCAACAAATAAAAAACGAAATAAAACAGTACCAAACAGCCAGCACTAATATGTGCCCAAAGACCGCAAAGAGCGACTACTAAATTATTAACACTGATGTGATTCACTGTTCAACAACTTAGACACTGCCCAGTTCAGAGTCACTAATAAATTCCCTAAGTAAATCTCTTTTCGTGGAAGATTCCCATAAGAATATAAAAATACAAACAACAAGCTTGTTTTCGTAACTTCAGGCATTTACAGTTCAAAGGCGATACGAGTGGTGATCTACTAAGAAGACGTTTGGATAAAAAAAATACAGGAAGATACTCAGCCGCCACTCTACGTGTGATGTTTACAAGCCGGTTACGGCTCTGCACAAACCTCAAGGATACGCTATCCATCCTCTCCTCATCCGTGATTACATATTCCTTCATTTGCACCTGTTAGGTCAATTATTTAGGACGAAAGATGAGACAGTTCTCACAAAGAATCATAGAACATAAACTGGCTTGGCTTAGCAGGGGTTGCAAGAAAACAATAACCAGTACGATTGTGGCCCAAATTTAATTTCAATGGACCAATCACATTTATATCTACATTATATATAAACACACAACTGTAAATGCCTGAAGACAAAGTTACGAAAACAAGCTTGTTCGCTATATTGTCTGTCTTTGAATTCTTGTTTCGTATTCAATCGGATATTGCTAAACATAAAAAACACTGTTTCTATATCATATGACAAAATTAAGACACTTATACACTGCATTTGCTTACTTGAATAAAGTTTTTCAGACACTATAAATGTATTATTAGAAGAAGACGGACAAAACATATTGATGAACCATGAATCGACTGACCTAATGCATTCAAGTTTTTAAAAATAGCAAAGAAGACATTTAGCTATAATAAAGAAGATTATTGGCTGTTCAGATATCCTAGGCTACTGTTTGAATTTCTAAAGACTCGTCACTTGGCAATGGTTCATGAGACTGTTCATTATCTTTGTCTGTGGACTATCCACAATAGGCTATACTTACAACTCTTAAATCTCAGTTTCTTCTCCTCAGATGTTGTAACTTGAAGGTGTTTGATACTGCGAACCAGATTTGTTCTTTTCAAACAAAGCTCTTCCAATATATCCCAAACTTACAACATAGTAATGTGATCAGCGTTTTTATTCGCGGTTCCCTAAATGCAGCTTTGGTATATATACTTTTATTGAGATTGTAAACACTGAGCAACTAATTAATAATATCAGAACAAAGTACTGTGCTGCTTAATTACTCACTATAAACAGAAGTTTATTTGGTGATCCAGGCCTATACGATGGCGCCTACCCTGGAGCGGCGCGTTACAGTTTGAGGACATTGGCGATCAATCAAGTTTGAATGCTGACTTCATTGACACGTGCATGGCTTCTGAATACACGTCATTGGTGGATGGTACCAGCCAATCCAAGACAGCGCAGACAAAAGCAAGATTATGCAAGCAGTACTGCAATCCCATTGGTGGAAGCCCAGGTAGCCAATAATCTCCCTTTGTACATATTATCTAATCACTTTCATTTCTTTCAATAAATGAACTACTGCTTACTACCATTCCTGTGGTCTTTTCCTCTCGTCTCGTTCTCGTGGGACATTGCGAACCCGTGCCATTGCGGTCCAGTGCTTCTGAGATCCAGTCCGTGATAGCTGACTATTGATTCGGGTCCTGTGATTCATATTGCGTGGTTGGTTTTCCGAATCCTGGCGTATTACTACTACGACTACTACAATCATAAGAGTTTACTTATCTGGAACCAAACTTTTCCAGGTTTATGACAGAATGGTACTGAGCTGAAGACGTTTCGTTAAATGAAACGAATGGAGACGATTCCTATATATTTTATAAGTGCAGAGCTCATTGAAATTCAGATCTGTTGAGTCAGAGCCTACTAGTGGATGGAACGACTGAGAACCACACGAGAGAAAAACGCCTGATACAGATCAGCTTAAATCGGTTACACTTGATCACATCAGCTCTCTCTTTTGTAATCATTCTACTTATCAGTAGTGATATGTTTCGTGAATAATTTTGATTGCCCTGGCTGCGGGATGTGCGACGGTCATCCGGTAAAATTCACGTATTTGCTTAGATGTGTTCGTGGTGATGCCATCTGCGTCCGGTGTGTTCTTCGTGGTGATATGAGCCCAGAGCTTTGGGTGTATTTTCCACTCCGCGAGCAGAACCAATTACGTGATCTTAAGCTCAGTTTACTGAAGCTCCTATCAATTGGAATATCTTTGACGTACAGACTGTCGTGTGGAGCAACCAACTTGCGGAATGTTCTTCAGGACGATATAGTGGATGAGTTAGACGATAGTTCATGCAAGAGGTAGCTGGATTGCTTTCCTCGAGAGAGGTGGTATGCTTTTACAGCATGAATACATAGCTTGAGTTAGTGGTGAAGAGGCTTGTGCGGGTGGTCCCTCTCTTTTCAAACACCAATGAACAATGAACTCTTAGTTTTACTACTGTATATACAATAAGTAGTTAAAAGTTGCAGGCCAGAACCAAAAATCACGCTATTGGTTGAATCCAGCTCCGACACATTTTCCCTGAGATACGTGCTCACAAGCGTGCCTCTATACACTGACTACAACACAAGTGGTGATCAGAAGTTCTGGGATCCGGCGACTGAGCCGGTTGACACAGTTAACCAACACACATTTGTAACAGCGATATATAACGAATGTATGTGTTTGGAGTTCAACATCAAACTCGTTTATCCAGGTGAGGTAATCCGGGTCTACGAGATGACGCGTACGCTGGAGCGAGGCGTTACAGGTTTTGGACAACTGCGATCAATCACATTTCACGGGTGACATCAACAACGCGCGTACGTGTCACTGATTCCGGACCACATACCACATATATAGGCAGATCGTACCAGCCAACCAGAGACCGTGCAGTCCAGACAGAAGCAGAACGATGCAAGCAATATTGGAACACGATTGGTAGAAGCCCGGATAAACAACGTACTTACTTTGTACATATTATTCAATCCCCTCTATTTCTTCCAATAAACGAACTACCATTCCTGTAGCTTCTTCCTAGCGTCTCAGTTACGTGGAATATTGCGTGCTAGTACCGGTGCGGTCCAGCGCCTACGTGATCCAGTCCGTGATTACTAATCCTTGATTCGTATTTCGTGATCCCTATTGCGTGTTTCGTATTCCGAGTTCAGTGCGCACTACTACTACCACTACTACATTAATTACACCGGGCCACTATGGTCCAGCTTCGATGTGGGTATCGCGAGGTGTATTTTTTAAATGTTGAATCTAACGCCAAAGTTGTTTCTGTCATACAAAGAAACGATGGTGTTTTGTTTCTCCGGGTTATTACCCTTATGCAGACTCTTCCAAGAAATGTGGGAATTAAGATAACCACTTTGCCATTTTTCTTCGAAAACACATCTCATGTTATCGGATAAAGCCGAGTTTTGCTTCCGGCAATACAAATAGCTTCGATCCTGTCGATTGTACTTGTTGCGGGTTGCCAAGCCCAATGCTGCAGCTCAATTAACCCAAGCCGATTAGCCCTTCCACCATGGCTTACTGCGTGCTAACTAACCCAACCCGCTGGACAGTTTAGTTAAACGATCAAATAGAGAACCTTCGTCTGGTAGTAGGTATTTCTATACTCCAAAAGGGAAATGACATAGCTTTACCTTTCATTTAATTGGCTGGTCAGTAAGTGCGTGTGTGCCTATAAGTAATTGAATGTCGCCGGTAGGGCAGACAGGCAACAGTCGATTACAAAATGGACTGCTATGCATTCTGATCTCGACCCTTAGGTAAACTAGTATATGTCGTTCTGTAAGAGTCACCCTCGTGGAATATTGATTGGCTATGTCAACCCCTTTCATTAGGCTGTCCCTGGAACATCTTATTTATATGTTTTTGAGAGACCATAGATACACACGCACGCGTACCGATCGGAGGGAGACTGTGTACGTGTATNGTGTATTTGTGAACCAGAGCTTAATTCAAGCTACGCCAAAATGTGCGTTAATGATCTGTAATTTAAAACTACCGGTTGTCTGCAGTAATGAAAAGGAGAACACGACTTTAGCTGTTTGAGAATCCAACTATTTGGTGGAACTCCTGAGTGACCTGTACATACAAAATCGAACCTTCACTGCACTTCAAGTTGTCCGAGTAGCAAATAAAGATGTCCGAGTAGCGTTTCAGGTTGTCACTGCATCATTTCAAGATGTCCGGGTATAATTACAAGTTGCTTGGGTGGCATTTCAAGTTGTCTCTTTCACCTCATAAAAGCTGCTGGTCCCATGTACTGTTTAAGTCTCCTAGCATTGTCTGGATCACCACCATGCGACACAAACTTGTGGATCTCTTGCTGCAGCTCTAAGAGAAACCGTTTTGTGAGTTACCTCGACCACATATGCCTCTAATCCCAGGGTATATCTTGACCTTGTCAGTACGCGCCTGTGTCCAACTGACCCTGAAAAATCACCAAAGGATCATGCGCGATAAACGTGTGGGCCACTGCTTCTACCCAGTGCATGATGTTGCGGGAGAATATGCGAGGTACAACTCAAGCGGATGAATTAAGACACCAATCGATCTTGCTTGATCGGTATACGCGCCATCGGTATCCAGATTACCATTAAGTTAGTATAAGACTTGCAGATCATTTCCAATCTCCATGTTACCACCACAGGAGCACCAGAATAATTTCTACCCTTCAAGTACTGAACAACCAAAATAACCATTTTGAACGTATATCTGGAACGAAATGAGATATCGTAAGCACACCAAC